CCTGCCGGTGGGCACCGAGCCGCTCCCGGAGCCTCCGGAGGGACCTAAAGGAAGGAGGTGAAGTCGCTTCGGGCTAGCGCGGTACCCAGTGGGCGCCAAGGAGCTGGCCCTGATAACGGGCTCTGGCCAGCATCGTTTTTTCTGTCGCTCCCTTAACTTTCTCCCTTCATAGAAACCATTCCTCCTCACACCGTCCATACCATGGCAGTTGGTGTAGACTAGTCGTTGGAAGCGTACATCAGTGTAGACCATCTGCTTGATTATGTTGCCTCATTTGTGATTTATTGAACACAATGTATTTCCAAACTATCATAGAAATTATAATTTCTGCAACTCATATGGGTAGCTGCCATAATCCAAATCAACATGAATATATATGCACTTTAGTCACTTTTTAGTGACAGAAATAAAATTTTAGTATTCTGGGGAACAAATGCTAGCAACTGATTTGAAATTATGACAAAAAATGCTGAATCAGATGCAGGTCACACAATAGAAAGGTTAATGTAAGTGCATTTCTACTCCAAAAGCAATTGCTTTAGAAACCTAAAAAAAGAGGACCACATATTAAAACGCATTGCCTGCTCCTTTGGAAAATGACACAGCTAAGTGTGTGTCAGTTATGCCCTAAGTTTATGACCAAAGATAGGTATTTGGTCATAAATCACTGGCGATTAAACAGGTGTACACACACAGACATGAAGCAGAATAGGCTTCAAAATCCAATCTTAACTAACTTGCAAATTAATTTTTAACTCCACAAAATTTAAAAAGAAAATTTACAAGTAGCTTCGTTTTTCAGCTTCAGTATTCAGGAGGACTCAGAATTTGTAATTCTCACTTTAGATGAAAGTTTCGAATTTGTATTCTTCTGCAGAAGAAAAATGTAACACATGTAATACCTGCATTTTATCACAGTTTAAACATAATAATTCTGTATATTGTAGAGAACTGGTGATCTTAGTGACAAGGCTTAATATTTTTTTTCTCCCCATATATTTGAAGCTTTTTAAACAAATACCTGACTAGTATTTTCAGTGAGGCAGTTTTTAATTCAACTGTTTGTAGAGCCTGAATGAAAGCCCACTAAAGAAAAAAATTTGGTGGAAATTAAAATAGGCTCATAAAAAAAACCCCAGAAACAAAATTGTATGTGTAACTGACATGATGGTTTATTTGCTTGAAAATGTGAAATTATATTTAAATGAGAAATGCCATGGAGAAGCTTATGTTTTAACTAATATGGACAGTTATGTCATAAAGAAAATGATCATTCATTTTAATTTTCTTTTGAAAATGTTTCCCCTCAGGGGAAAGTGTGTGCCTGTAGAATGTAACTATTCCTGTAGAATTTGAATATATGAATAGAAGCTATATTTCTTGTCAATAAGAAGTGAATCAAGAGGACATCAAACTGTGTGAATTTCCCTCTGATTTGAACAGTAACATTTAACCAGACTTTTTACACATTGCTCTCTCAGAGTCTGCTCTTTTTATGCTTTTACTCCTCATCTGTGTCTTTCACTCCTGAATTACCTGGACGTGCTCCCTTCTCCTCCTCCAAGCCTGGCTTTATTCTTCACTTGAGGAATCTTGACCAGGCTCCTGAATAATGTCCTCCAGACTTCTTTTCTCAATCAAAATGTTTCTTAATACCTACCTATCTTCCACGACTGCAGCTATCTTCCAGCCTTGACGGTGTGGAAGCTATCTTCCATCCTTTATAGATTATAAAAACCAGGTGCTAACCAGACACACTCCTTTCATTGTCCTCAGCTGGTATGACCCAAGACACCGCAAATCATGATGCTGTCACACCTGTGCCGCTCACCCATTCACAAGAGCTGCTGCTGTCGTTAGTAGAAATTCAGCTGAGGTGATCTTGTGCTGCCAGCAGAACTTTGGCCAATGGTAAAGCAGTTAAGAGATTAGGTAACACTGACAACCAGTAGTGCTGGAAGGGATGGAAGGCATTAGGTTGGAGATTAGTTGCTAGTGACTTGCTGTAATACTGATCTACAAACCAGTCTTATTTAATATTTTCAATAACAACTTCAATGCAAGAAGTAAGAATGAATGAATGTAGTGTGCTGGTAATGCAAAGGTGAACAGGGCATCACTACAGAGGAAGGTCAGCATAACACAACAGAAGTTTTTGATGACCTGAATAATAGAAACGAGAAGCAGTGCAACAGTACAAAATGCAATAGCTTAGGAGATAATAGAAGTTCCTATTAAAAACTCCTTTTAACAGAAGAACAGCTGTTGGAAACATCTGAGGAGATAAAAGACTTGGTCATATTATCTGACCTCATTTTAGATACTGAAGTTTTTCAGCCATGAAAGACAAACAAAATAAAAAAATGTGTGAGAGGGCTACTTCCTGTAGCTAATGGTAAGCATTAAGGTAGTTAAGTACTGAGGCTTCTGATCCAAACTGTACTATGCTGTGCTGTTTTGAGATCACATCAGGCACAGAGGAGGGCCACTCTGAGGAGTTAGGCAATACAAGGCTATTAACAAGAAAGGAGAATAGATGAGAGCCTAATAGCTCTGGGCATAGCCTTTCAGTGGAGTATTTATGGGATTTCCAGGGGAATGGTTTATGTCCAAAAGGCACAGTGATCTTGCATTTGTTTGCTAATCACCATGTGAGCACACCCTAAAAATCTAAGCTGGGAAGGGCTGTGATTGCTCTCAAAAAATACATGAGTAAATATTACAAATAGAAAGGTATCATTTATAGTGAAGGAAGTTATATACAAACCATTAATAAATTTGTAATTAGAAATAAATTAGGCTTGAAATTAGAAGAAGGCAAATAACCAAGGTAGTTTGGAAGAATTCCCCAAACAAGAAACACAGTAGTGGTGGTGGTGAGTTCTTGTTATTAAGATTGAACATGATCGATTTTTAAGAGCATTATAATAGTTGGCTTCCTGTGCTAGCAGAAATCTATGACATACTAGCACATATTTGTATAAAAGGTCCCTTACAGTCTCATGTTCTGTGAAAGGTAGTGACACAACATGGTGATGATCCCTGAAATGAAGGCATAGGCAGAATCTATCCACAGATTGTGTGGTGGGGTGTTACATGCCAACAGCATTGCTAATTTTAATGAAAGTGAGATATGACTTATGTGAATATGGAATAGATTTTGGTTTAATTTGGTTTTAAATATAAGTAAGTATATTGTTTGGCTTTGGACTGCTGGTATTCCAGGAAAGCTAAAAGCCATGTGGAACTCTGTTTCATAGAATCATAGAATAGTTTGGGTTGGAAGGGACCCTTAAAGGTCATCTGCCCATGGGCAGGGACATCTTCAACTAGATCAGGTTGCTCAGAGCCCTGTCCAACCTCACCTTGAATGTTTCCAGGGATGGGGCATCCACCACCTCTCT